AAAAAAAAAAAAAAGAACAGTAACTCCTGCTCACCGAGAGTTTGCCATGTGTCAGGCTCTGTTCTGTGGTCAGTGTATCTTCTTTAATTTAATCCTTATAATGTCCTGGTGAGGTAGATCCTATTGTCAGCCCCAGCTTCCTGATGAAAAATCCCGAAGCTTAGTAGCTGTAGAAAGCCAAGTGGAGAGTCCGACTTGGGCAGTCTGATTGGAAACTTCGCTAGACCATTTGACCGTTGTGAAGTGTGGACCCTGATCTTCCCTTTCTGAAAAAGCCTCAACTTTGTGTTTATGTGTAATAACGTGTGTAGGCTGCTCTCCCTGTAACTGTGTGCACGTGTGTCTGTGGGTGCTGACCAGGAATTTAATCTGTAGTGTGCTCGTTATTTCTGTGTACCTCCTGTCTGTTCGCTCGGACCTAGCTAGAGCGGAGGAAGCAGGTCTTTCCTAAGCTGTTGTGCTACTTGGTACGTACACTTCTCCCTGTTGGAAACCCCAGGTTTTTTTTTTTTTTTTTTTTTTTTTTAAAGATTTTTTTTATTTATTTGTCAGAGAGAGATGGAGAGAGAGCGAGCACAGGCAGACAGAATGGCAGGCAGAGGGAGAAGCAGGTTCCCTGCCGAGCAAGGAGCCAGATGCGGGACTCGATCCCAGGATGCTGGGATCATGACCTGAGCCGAAGGCAGCTGCTCAACCAACTGAGCCACCCAGGCGTCCCGAAACCCCAGGTTTTTATCTGAGTGGCTTTGCAGCTCTGCACTGCAGAACCTACTGGAAGCTGCAGCTCAGGAGCCGAGAGCCCCTCGCCGTTAGGGCTCTTGGCTCCTGTTTCGCTTCGGTGCTTCTGTGGGGTCGCCCCTTGTGTGAAGGAGGGCTTCTCGAGCAAAGGAAGAGTTAGACTTCCCTAACTTGGACCATTTGAGTTTATGCATGAAGACTGATAAATAAATTTCTTCCTGTGCTTCTACAAGCCAGAGTCCTGGGAAAACCCTGGTAAAGTTATCAGAGAAAGGAACACTACCAAAATCTAACATGGCAGGCTCTCTGGACATAGTTGGATTTTAGGGCTTCTGGGACCCATGTGGGATCTTTATCCAGAAATCCATTCTTTCCAGGGACTGCTTCATCATGACTTGATGGCATGTTCTTATTGAGAAAATCACAATGGCTTTCATTATTTTTCATTCCAAGAGAACCATAGAGAAACCTGGTAAAACAATAACAACAAAACAAAAACCGGTAACACTGGAGGGATGATTAACATAGGACTCCTTCCAGTCCCCTCTGGTCCTCATACAAAGAATTAGGCTCCATCCGAAATCTAGAAGAGGACTTTGGAGCCATAGCTTCAAAATATTTCATACATCATATTCTTGTGATAGGGAAGAAAACCTGCTTCCATAACCCAGTAAAGGATTCTTATTACAGCTTCACCTTAAACCTGCATGGATGCTTTACTCTGAATTCTTTTCTGAAATTCTGACCTGGAGGATGCCAGAAAGACAGCTCAAGTCAACCTGACCATAGAAGTAAGACAAGCCAGGGTTATCAGAGTTCTGCTGTTCTAAGTCATCTTGGAAGAGTTAGGTAATTCTTATGAGCCTTGATTTCTTGTCTACTTGATGGGTATAATAGCTCCCTGGTGATGCTAAGGATTATGCCAAGTGTATATGAACCAAACAAAGTTAGTGTCTGGCCGTATCTTATTATGAAAACGGCTTGATGGGTTTTCACCAAATTTGGAGGGGCTATCTGAAGGGTTGGATTAAAATACAAGCCAAGTAGCACGTATGACATTTACTTTGGGTGGTGGCTAAAGGGACACCTAGAACGGGTGGGTGGGTTGTTTTTCATACCAGCCACATGAGAGGGAGACAGTGAGGTCACGTGCAGTTGGAATGAGCCAGGCCAAGGTTTTTGGCCAAGCTGTAGCTCAAGTCACCCCACAGGCAGACCCTGAAAGGCAGTGCTGATCCAGAATGAGGCCAGTGCTCGCAGCAGAATCTCTGTACGCCTTGAGTCGGAATCTTTGTAGTAGTTAGAATTTACTTCTCAGTGATTAGTAATTCTCTTCAATGACACAGGATGGGCTTGTTAAAAACCTACAAAGACCGTTTAGCTTAGGATTTGGTGCAGAAGTTAGGTCAATTCCACCGCACCCCCCCTTCCTGCTCTCCACCTCCCCGACCAAGAGTAAGGAATTCATTATTATGTTTCATTTTGTATTAATCGTACTTAGTCATAGTGACTCTGTCATTTCTGTGGAGATAGAGCAGTCCAACGGCAATAACAGCCTAGTATTTCAGATGTACTAGGATGTTTTGGGGAAGAAGCCATCATTCTTTAGCACGCTAGTATTTAATCTCTGCAAACATTAGAATAATGAACTGTATTTTGGTTTGCCTGGCTGTCCCTAAAATCTTTTGAAGGGTTGTGAAAGATCTTGATTAATAATAAAAAAGTATACTTCTGGGGGCGCCTGGGTGGCTCAGTTGGTTGAGCGGCTGCCTTTGGCTCAGGTCATGATCCCGGACTTCCAGGATCGAGTCCCGCATCAGGCTCCCGGCTCCTGGGGAAGTCTGCTTCTCCCTCTGACCTTCTCCTCTCTCATGCTCTCTCTCACTCATTCTCTTTCAAATAAATAAATAAAATCTAAAAAAAAAAAAGTATATTTCTGGGTTTAAATAACCCTTCTCTCTTGGCAAGTAATTGTAGAATAGTGATATTTTATATGTAACTATTTTCTATGCTGAAGGGGTGAACTAGTTTTACTCTCTCGGGTTTAAGTTTCACTTTTGATTTTGATGTGGTACCATGAAAAGTCGGTCTACTGATTGAAACGACACTTCCTAAAACTAGGTGTGAAAATTTTAAGGACAGTTTGTCTTAGATCTTTCCCTCAAGACAACAACTTGTTTCCCCAAGTTGATACCTTGAACTCAACTATTAACAGAGAATGTTTTCTTGTCACGAGTATCTGATATGACAGCAGCTTTTCTGCGTTACAATAAAAACACTGCTGGTCCACACAGGCGGCCAGTTTTTCAAACCCCTGCAAAGGTATGAATCCTGATGGCACAGTTAAAAAATATAAGCGCCATTATTTTGCATCTGCCCGATCTGTTGAATGTTCGTTTCTTACTCTTCCTTGTAAGGGGTATCATAACCACTCAGAAGGCTGAAGCTTTAGATCTGCCCTGGAAAAAACCTTCTTGCCCCCCACCCCCGTGCCCCCCATTCCTGTCTGGGCCTGTAGAGGAGGTGATTTCTGCTGATCTCTGCGAGACAAGGACCGTTCCAACCCAACAGCTAATGCCACCCTCCTTGAGAAATACCGTGAGGCCCAAAGGGCTGAGGAAGGAGAAAGGCAAGAAGGTGTGCACCACGTCGTGGGGGGAGACCCGAACAGCTGCCCTCGGGTGTCACGCTCAGCTCTTGTCTCCTTAGCCCACCTGGCCGTGATATCTGCAGGGAACAGGCCTCCCCATTCTGCGTCTCTCGGCAGCCACAGGTCTAAGCCGTGTCCTCCTGCCAGAAGGCTCAGGCTCTTGCCAGAAGCCTGTCCTGTGGGTTAGTGGACACTTTTCTTGCCTTAATGAAACGGACATATTGTTCCCATTTGGTTACTAAAGTTCTCTTCGTTTTCGGGCCAAATCCCAAGGAGGAGGGCCAAGTGGCGGGGTTTATCTTTATTTCTAATTTCAGAAGAACTTCCAAAATGATCCCTTTAAGTTGCTTTTCTTATTGTTAGAAAGCCAAAACCAAAAAAACAAAACCCGTCAATCTCCCACTTGAAGACCAGAGCTCACCTTCGTTTGAAGTCACCAAAGGTTTTCTCCGCGACTGTGAAGACTGTTTCATGCGGCTCATGATCCATCTGTCTCAACACAGAAAGGAGAAAGACTAGAAATCCTTTTAAATGCTTCTTTTATTTCATTGGTTGTACATTGGGTGAGTGAACTGAATATTACAACCAAAACATAGAGTTGATACAAATTAGACTCCTGTTTACACTGTAAGGTAATGAATGAGGGAATTCTTTAAGTGTTACAGAAAGATTTAGTAGAAATGTTACCAGTGGTATGGCTGAACGAATATTTCTGTGAAGTGCTGTTATATTCCTGAAAACCAAGAGTGAAATGTAGTTCCCATACAAGTGGCGAGTTCATCTCTTAACTACAGTATTTGTTGAACTGCTATCTTCATGTCTTGGATATTGGTGATTTTATTTTTGTAATTAAACAAAGCATTTAAGATTTATTCATCATAGTCAGACTTCTGAATATAAACAAACTTTTGGCAAATAATATTTATACAGAAAAATAGTTTTAGATCCTCTCAAATCCCAGAATTATTCTATAAAATTACATTATAAATAAATAAAAAGCAAAATCTGTTGTACATATATTTGTACATCTATGCATTTGCCTTGCCTCCTCCTTATTGTAAATGGCATATTTATGACTCTTTGCATATTATAATCACAATTCTGGAAAATGGATATCATAGTAAAAATACAGTCTTCTATATCTGTTTGGGGATACAGGTGATGTTTTTGATGCTCCATTATTAAAGGGCTGAAAATAGCTGTGTGCTAATAATTTTAAAAATCAAAATCATGAAACAAAAGAAAGACAACGTGACAACAATTAGTCTACAAAAATATTTCAGTGATTCCTGTAATTCACCTTTTCGTAATGTACTAGGTTCTCAATGAGTTTAAGTGAAATAACAAAGAAAGAGAAAAGAAAAGACGAAAACAAGTTTGAATGTTTTAGGCAAGTTGTAGCGTAACTACATTGTTATAGTTGAGAAAATTACAAATATCAATAATACATAAAGATGAAGCTACCAAAGAAATACAAGTTAGATACAATACTTTCCCACAAATTAAAACAAATGCCATGATACAAGCACTACGTAAGATCACACTTAGAATGTGATTTTCTTTCGATGGGGTTATCAAATCTATAAGATAAGATGGTCATTAGACGTCGACCGACATGAATTAAAATGGCGGATCTCTTTTTTTTTCTCCAACAAAAAATGATATGGTTGGTGCATCTAGTTTTCAGAACAGGCGGTGATGCCAAAATTTAAAATATTTTACATTCAATCTCAAAAGTCAAAATACTTCAATCGCTAATATGTTCACAAAGAAAATGGATGTTTTAAACAATTACACATAATATTCATTTATAACAGCTGTTTTGTTTTTTAAACAATAATTTAAAAACTATGTAGGTACTGTATACGCTATGTGCAACATATAAAATGTGAAATATGAAATATTTGGTACGATAGTGCTTAAAATAAACTTTAAAACAAACTTTCTGAACAAAATGTAATTGTATCGCTATTACCTTGAAGATCAACCAAGTATTTAAAAAAGTAAACAACATTAAAATATGTTTCATTCATATATAGTATATATATGTATGTGTATATATAATATGTATGTACTTGTATTAAAGTTTTTTATACGTTTGAGACATAAAATATGCTTTAAGGTGAAAGAATTAAAAGAACTATTTTTTTTCCATGCTGTAGTCAGTTACAACCCTTTAATCCAACTTTTGAAATGCAAAACAGTAATGGATTTTTTAAAAAGTGAAACTATCTACTTTTTGTTTACATAGTAATTTAGATTAAAGTCACAGTCAAATTTTCAGTGACTAAACTCAAACTTACTTAAATTAGAATATTATACAGATCTCCTCACCTACAGCTTCGTTGTTTGACTAGGTTTTTAGTTTAGAAGTTACTCTGTAATAGGCAACCGGATGGTGAGTTGGAAAAACTAACCCCTTAGATTAGACTGTTGGCATGGGCCTCTTGTTCTTGTCAAGCTGGATGAAGTCTGGCAAAATCTAGGCACTTCTACAAAGTCTCTCTTATAAAACAACTTTAAAAATATACTTGTAAAATAATACCTTCAAGACTTTGTTTGGTGGGGTATGAAGCTCATACCGTGCAAAGTTTCTTTTTCAATCTAGTTAATGTTATTCTAGAATCACACGATTCAATGCGGCATCTCCAGGCAAACCAAATACCACGCTCTGATGTGTCCCCCGTACTTGTGCTTGAATTTCCACTCAAATTTTAGACCTGTGGGACAGGTGTGAGTTTTACTTCACTTCTCACCTTTGCTGCAGCATTCATGGTGTGAAGAAGCGAACCACACTCTTTGATCCAGTGGGCAAATGAAATGACAGTAATTGGCGTTTGAATCGAACCTGCCCTCGGAACAGATTTCTTAACTAATGCTAACTGTTTATTGCTAACTTGGAAAGAGTCTCAATTGAAATGAGTACATTGGTCGGACTTTTCTGCATCAGCTATGGTTATGGAGATAAGACAATATTCCTAGGACAGAAACTATGTTTAGAAACCCTTGAAAAGTAAACTTTATCCTTTATGTCTTTAAACGTCACAGCTGGTCTCAGGTAGTTAACTATCTTAGGTTGGAATATACTAAGCATACCATATTTAATACTCATATATGATGTAGCAGCACTAGCTTCTTACAGTTGTGGTCCGTCCGGAAGAACTAATTCTTTATTTAGCATGCAGTTTGTGGCAATTCTATTGAGGAGGAAACAGGATAGTATGTACAGTAACAATGTTTAGTTATTCTCAATGCAGATTCTTGGCATTCCATTCCGTTTCTGCTGATTATTTCAGAATTATCTGTTAAAGAGAAAGACAAGCGTGCTTTAGACATCCTTCTCAGAGGGAAAATAACGAGCATAAGTTTTACTCTTTGAAAACGGGAATTTTCTTCCCTTTCTCATTTGGATATATTTTCATCTTTTGAGGCAATCGTAATTTTGAGCAATCCCCACCCTTCGTGCCGAAAAATTTTACACGTAAGCACTCCTGCCATGTGGCCGCTGTGATGAATGGTGATTTGAATGCACGCTATCGTATTTTCTGTAAAACTCAGACAGCGTATATGTGGGCATCCAGTGTGCCTGGGACCTGATCTCCTTTATTAGTTCCTGCTTCATGTCTCTTTCTGATACGTTCCCATTATCAACCAATTAGTATTTGCTAAATATTATGATCAGGGAGTCTAATCAGAGAATTAGTTTGTACATGGAAAGTTGTGGGAAAAGGTTAAATGTAAATATTTTAAAATGTATAATAATTAAGTGTTATTTGTTAACTTGCATATAAAATTCAGAGATGTGTTCCCATCAAAAGTAATTTTGTTCCCAAGGCATAATAACCACCAGTTTCAAATTCAGGGAACGTATGAATGTCCCAAATCAAAGGGAAAAAGGGGCAACATTCTAATAAAGCAGTTAAAACATTCTAAATAAATCCAAAAGCACAGACAAAGCTGAACTATCAAATGCAAATCGTGGTCCCAGGAGCCTGATTTCCAAGTTCATTTCCAACTCCATACCTTTGCAAAAAGACAGGGAGTTTGCCCTGTCTGACCCAGTCTTCTAAATGTCAAGCTTTTAAAAAAGCCAACCTTTTAACACATTCTAACAAAAATATTTACTCTTTGAGCAATGCTTCAAAACCAATCTTTGTGAAATTACTGAAATATTTACTTATTAAACTGCCGAGAACCTATGTTTAGGGAAAGAAACCAGTGAAAATTCTTTACGATCAAGCTAATATTCCCGCATACTGGGATCCAATTCCTAGTAAGAGCCTCATTTCTATGTATAAATTCTTAGCCCACTATGTTAGAATTCACATATGTAAATATTTTCTCTTTTAAGTGGGTGTTCCTGCAGTTTGCATAATATACTCAGATAATACCAACTCAGATAATTCCTCCCATGAAATAGATGAAAGTAGAGCAAGAACTCATTTATGTTAAATATTTATACTAAATGGAAACTCAAAACTTCAAAGTTCCTGAGAATTTAATTAATTGGGAAAAATCACATTCCTTGTCTTATATCCTGATAGATAAATAAAAATGAGATACAATGATCTGATATGTAAATATTATCATGGTATCTTTGACTAGCCACTCCAAGTTGCCAATATCAAATTCTTTGGATGGTTATATTATAACTTCACTTTTGGGTTTACCTGTTTGGTTATTAAATAGGAATTATCCTATTTTGTCCCTTAGCTTCAATGCCATCTGTAAGGTTCCAAATTAAGAACGTGTTGTGGGACACCAAATCGTGTCCCTTTCTCTTTCTTCTTTCCTTTTACTTTAGCAAGACTCCCTCTAAAATATTTACAGCACAAAATCTTGCAATGTCTTAAAATCAATACATAAATAATATATATTTTATAATAGATTCATATCCTTGCTTATTAAGTGACAACAAACTGCCGTACAGAATGATATTCTTAGCCACCTGGAAAGAGAAGTATTCTACAGCATGCCTAGCAATGGGCTATTATAGAAATGAGTTAGAGCAATGCTTTGGACTCATACCTGACAGAGAGATATGTACAACCACCTGGGTTTAAGTGAACTGTAAATTAACCTTGAAGTTCACTCAGAACATCACCTAGACTCACCCAGCCTGCTCTTACCCCCGTCCCAGCCTATATCAGATCCATTACATGGATAAAGACAATATAAATGCCTGTTACATGAGGAAGCCGTCCGCTATTACAGCTGCCTGGTGTTTAGGCCAGGAAATTGGCTCTACCCTGGTCTCTATCCTCAGCTAACTTGTGGAGTGTCCTCTGGGGTATTAAAAAAAAAAAGAGAAAAAGAATTACTCTCCTGGCAGCTGCAAGCTTCAAGAGGTCCAAGAGATTTGATTTTAGAAGGTAAGAAAGCTGTGCGTGTTTCATTTTTTGGGTGGTGACATTTTTCTGGAAAATATAACTTGATTATTAATTTTTCTCCCCTGAGAAATAGAGCTCGCTGGCACAATCTTTAGTGTTCTCCGGGGGCAGACACAGTCTGGAAATACAGACAGGAGTCCAGTGAGGAGCAGCTGGCTACGGAGTATTTCTGAAGTAACCTGATGCCCATTTGATTGCTATTTCTGACGTCAGGAGACTGCAGCGTGACGTCAGACACTAAGGGCCCGAGGGCCCACGGAGGGGACAGGGCAGTTTTCTGCTGGGGGATAGCTCTGGAGGGAAGAGAAGAGCCAAGTGTGTGTGTGGGTGGGGAGGGGCTGGGTGTGGGGAGAAGGGTGTAGAGAAGCCATTTCGAGGGAAAGAGGATTCTTCTGTCTAGTTTTAAATAGGGGTTTCCTTTACTCGGATGTTTTTAATTAGCATCAAGAAACATAATTTAAAATCAGATGGAAAGGTACATCTGTGTGCTTCCCTGTTGCGTCTCCAATTCTACATGGATATATAAAATATGCCCTACATAAAAACGTCTTCAATCTCCATTGTAATTTTAATGGCCGGCAGGGTCAAGACCTTCAGAGGGTGTCTGAATATTTCAATACAGGCACAAAATGTTCATTCTTAGAACAGCAGGCTGTGGGCACTTGGGTGGCTCAGTTGGCTGAGTCTGACCCTTGTTTCTACTCAGGTCATGATCTTAGGGCTGTGAGATCGAGCCCTACATCAGGCTCCTCGCTGCGCACTTAAATCGGAGCCTACTTAAGATTCTCTCTTTCCCTCCGCCCCACCCAACCTGAGCTCTTTTTATATGTGGCCCTGAAACATGGGCTATGAATCCGATCTGACAAGTCCTAATCCTGAGCCTGTCCATTTTAAAGAACAGTTAATTAAATCGCAATTCACCAAAGTGACCTCGACAGACCAGCTGTCAGTGGCATCCTTCCTTCCCTGCGCTTGCCAAAACTGAGACCAAAGTTCCTTCCTCAACCCCCAGGCCCTGCAGCCTGTGTTTTCTTGGAAGGGGCAATGGAAAATTCTCCTGGGGTCTGCCAGAGCTATAAGTCAGAGAAATGGCTACCACATTGGGTCCCCTGGAAATCCCCTGTTGTTTTGTTTTTATTTGAATAGATGCCCCTTTGATTTCCAGGGGGCTCTGACTGGTTTTGGCCAGAACCCTGAGAGCTAGGTCAGTATCACCAGTCATATTTTCGTAGACATAGAAAAGGCAGCACAAATGGCTTTCACTGGTTTGCACGATGTACAAAGTGCTTGTGCAAACCAATATGAGTTCGAGATGTTGACTCCCTCCACCTACTGGCATGGGAGTCCCCTCCAGGGTATAGTGACAGTCTGCATTGACCAGGGGAAACAGGGGTTCCAAAGGCCATGTCTATACCTCTCATGGTGCCGGTGGCGATCAGTGCTCAGAAGAACCGTTGTGGGAGCCCGGGAACCAGGGAAAGGGGAAGCCATGGGGTATAGTTTAGAGTACTGTGGGGGAGAAAGCAGTGACTGTCTGGAGGAGCCAAATGGGCAGAGGGACCATGGGGCTGCTGGGCCCCTCCCCAGGAAGTCCTTGCCTGGACGGCCAAGCACATTCTACCCCAGGCTTCCTCCAGACCAAGGCCACGTGCACAACTGCTCACGGCAGCAGAAACCCTGCCTCAGTCCCAGGTCTGCTGTTTGAGCTTCTAAGGACCACGACACCGTATAGGACAGGACAGGAATAAAATATACTGAACAAGGTGTACTTCTGTCCATCTTTCTGATAGGCTTGCCTCTTAAATTTAAGTATCTTTCCCTATAAGGAGAACCATGATGAAGAAGGGGGATAAATTACTAAAATAAGATTTTAGTCAATCTTCTATGGTAAATCAAATTTCTGAACTTTTGAAAGGATTACTTTTAATCCCCTTTGCCACTAAAAGGAGAACACACAAAAAATGCGACTAGCTGATGCCCACGAAATCGGCAATTCTATTTTTAGAACAAAGATACACTTGATCTCAAAGCATGACCACATGTGTGAATCTTTGGTGGACCCTCTGGTTGGAACAGGTGTGTCTGTGAAGCAAAAATATCAGTTGGCTGCCGTGGGGTCTACTTATTAATTAGCATTTCCTTCAGGCGGTTGGATTTTTCAGAATCTGACAATTCTGCTTCATCCACATTCTTAATTTGTTCCCATATGAACCTAGTATACAAGTAGACTAATATTTATTTACTGAAGAGAGAATGTGAATGGCCCCGAAGAACATCCAGGGGGTTGTTTTCCCATGAAATGTGTGATGGGCAGTCATTGACTAATCTCTGTGTCCTTGGTGAAGCGTCTACCACTGCCTCGTGGTGCCATGGCAGTCAAGCTCATTAAAAAGAAGTCTGGGTCCTCGTACGGTAAACCAGCTGACGGGGGCAGGGCCCCAGCAGGCAGAGCACGTGAATGAGTGGGTCAGGTAGGGAGTGTGGCAGATGGAAGGCCCTGTGCCTACAAGGAATGGAGGAGAAGCTAACCAGCTCCAACCAAATGCTATGTGCAGAAACCCAGGCTCTACATTGCTTGACCCAATCTTCATTTTCCAAAAGAAGCTGGAAATTCAGCAACTAATTCACATTACAGAAAATAATTGTGTGGCTCACGTATCTCTTTAGGCTGTGTCCTCTTTGAGCATTACTTATTGGAAGGAGCTATCCACTAAGCCTGGATTGCTGGCTTCCCGAGCCGGGCAGACGCCAGGGCTGGAGGCAATACCGAGGGAGCCAGCAGTCATTGCTGTGGGGTGGGATTGGAGGAGGAGGTCTAATGGGGAGTTAATCCTGCAACTTGCAGACATTTGACTTCCACCCAAAGAACAGGGTACTTGACCAAGAGGCACCATCTAAGAAAAAACTACTGT